AAAATGAAATACAGAAATATCTCATTTACATAAGTATTCACACCCCTGAGTCAATACATGTTAGAATCACCTTTGTCAGTGATTACAGCTCTGAGTCTTTCTGGGTAAGTCTCTAAGAGCTTGTATGTACAGTTGAAGTCGGAGGTTTACATACACCTTAGCCAAATACATTTAAACTCAGTTTTTCACAATTCATGACATTTAATCCTAGTAAAAATTCCCTGTCTTAGGTCAGTTACGATCACCACTTTATTTTAAGAATGTGAAATGTCAGAATAATAGTAGAGAGAATGATTTATTTCAGCTTTTATTTCTTTCATCACATTCCCAGTGGGTCAGAAGTTTACATACACTCAATTAGTATTTGGTAGCATTGCCTTTAAATTGTTTAACTTGGGTCAAACGTTTCGGGTAGCCTTCCACAAGCTTCCCACAATAAGTTGGGTGAATTTTGGCCCATTCCTCCTGACAGAGCTGGTGTAACTGAGTCAGGTTTGTAGGCCTCCTTGTTCGCACACGCTTTTTCAGTTCTGCCCACAAATGTTCTATAGGATTGAGGTCAGGGCTTTGTGATGGCCACTCCAATACCTTGACTTTGTTGTCCTTAAGCCATTTTGCCACAACTTTGGAAGTATGCTTGGGGTCATTGTCCATTTGGAAGACCATTTGCGACCAAGCTTTAACTTCCTGACTGATGTCTTGAGATGTTGCTTCAATATATCCACATAATTTTCCTTCCTCATGATGCCATCTATTTTGTGACGTGCACCAGTCCCTCCTGCAGCAAAGCACCCCCACAGCATGATGCTGCCACCCTCGTGCTTCACGGTTGGGATGGTGTTCTTCGGCTTGCAAGCAACCCCCTTTTTCCTCCAAACATAACGATGGTCATTATGGCCAAACAGTTCTATTTTTGTTTCAGAGGACATTTCTCCAAAAAGTACGATCTTTGTCCCCATGTGCAGTTGCAAACCGTAGTCTGGCTTTTTTATGGTGGTTTTGGAGCAGTGGCTTCTTCCTTGCTGAGCGGCCTTTCAGGTTATGTCGATATAGGACTCGTTTTACTATGGATATAGATACTTTTGTACCTGTTTCCTCCAGCATCTTCACAAGGTCCTTTGCTGTTGTTCTGGGATTGATTTGCACTTTTCGCACCAAAGTACGTTAATCTCTAGGAGATAGAACGCGTCTCCTTCCTGGGATGACAGCTGCGTGGTCCCATGGTGTTTATACTTGCATACTATTGTTTGTACAGATGAAAGGGTACCTTCAGGCATTTGGAAATTGCTCCCAAGGATGAACCAGACTTGTGGAGGTCTACAATTTTTTTCTGAGGTCTTGGCTGATTTCTTTTGATTTTCCCATGATGTCAAGCAAAGAGGCACTGAGTTTGAAGGTAGGCCTTGAAATACATCCACAGGTACACCTCCAATTGACTCAAATGATGTCAATTAGCCTATCAGAAGCTAAACATTTTCCAAGCTGTTTAAAGGCACAGTCAACTTAGTGTATGTAAACTTCTGACCCACTGGAATTGTGATACAGTGAATTATAAGTGAAATAATCTGTCTGTAAACAATTGTTGGAAAAATGACTTGTGTCATGCACAAAGTAGATGTCCTAACCGACTTGCCAAAACTATAGCTTGTTAACAAGAAATATGTGGAGTGTTTGAAAAACGAGTTTTAATGACTCCAACCTAAGTGTATGTAAACTTCCGACTTCAACTGTATAAGCTGGAAGTAGAAGCCTAAGTGTTGTTGTCCATTAGTTTACTCCAATTAGGTGAGTGGTGGCAGGGTTAGGGGAAACTAATCAAGGAACCTTACAGATATACTGTATATTTACAAAAACATATATGGGGGATTGGAAATAATGCAGACAATTACATTGATGAAATCTATCTGCTATATTAAAGTTGATCTACCCCCCCCCCAAAAAAATATATATAAATATATATATATATTTTTTTGTCTCTAAGAGCGTTGCACACCTGGATTGTACAATATTTGCACATTATTCTTCTAAAAATTCTTGAAGCATTGTCAAGTTGGTTGTTGATCACCGCTAGACAGCCATTTTCAAGTCTTGCTATAGACTTTCAAGCAGATTTAAGTCAAAACTGTAACTAGGCCACTCAGGAACATTCAATGTCCTCTTGGTAAGCAACTCCAGTGTATATTTGTCCTTGTGTATTTGTCCTTGTGTTTTAGGTTATTGTCCTGCTAAAAGGTGAATTTGTCTCCCAGTGTCTGTTGGAAAGCAGACTGAACCCGGCTTTCCTCTAGGATTTAGCTTGTGCTTAGCTCTAGTCCTTGCCAGTGACAAGCATACCCATAACATAATGCAGCCACCACTATGCTTGAAAATATGAAGAGTGGTACTCAGTGATGTGTTGTGTTGGATTTGCCCCAAACATAACGCTTTGTATTCAGGACATAAAGTTAATTTCTTTGCCCCATTTTTTGCAGTTTTACTTTAGTGCCTTATTGCAAACAGGATGCATGTTTTGGAATATTTGTATTCTGTATAAGCTTCCTTCTTTTCACTCTGTCATTTAGGTTAGTATTGTGGAGTAACTATGTTGTTGATCCATCCTCAGTCTTCTCCTATCACAGCCATTAAACTCTGTAACTGTTTTAAAATCACCATTGCCCTCATGGTGAAATCCCTGAGCGGTTTCCTTCCTTTCCGGCAACTGAGTTAGGAAGGATGCCTGGTCTTTGTGGTTGAATCTGTGTTTGCAATTCACTGCTCGACTGAGGGACCTTACAGATACTTGTATGTGTGCGGTACAGAGATGAGGTAGTCATAAAAAAAATCATGTTAAACACTATTATTGCACACAGAGTCCATGCAACTTCTAATGTGACTTGTTAAGCACATTTTTACTCCTGAACTTATTTAGGCATGCCATAACAAAGGGGTTGAATTGACTCAAGACATTTCAGCTTTTCATTTTTAATTAATTTGTAAACATTTCTAAAAACACAATTCCACTTTGACATTATGGGGTATTGTGTGTCCAGTGACACAAAATCTCAATTTAATCAATTTTCAATTCTGGCTGAAACACAACAACATTTGTAAAAAGTCAAGGGGTGTGAATACTTTCTTTCTGAAATGTCATTTGACTTTGCAGAAAATAACTGGACTGCAAATTTTAGTCAGCTATTAGGTTGGATTTCCTCTCACTGTTAGCAGTTGGGCTTTTGCACCTGGGCTTCCTGCATATTGCGTTGACAGACAATAACTAATCTCTCCATCATCGCCACTCTAATAATGCCATTTATAAATAAGATGGAATTGATCATTTCACTTTCCCTCCCGTTACTGCTCCACTCTGGACTGCATGACCTGAGGAGCAGGGATTAAGGAACTCTCAAAATCCATTGGCTCAGTGGAACAGCCTGTATATTCCAAACATTACACTGCACCAGAAAGCATTATTAGACACATACAGTCATGGTAGCATACAGGATGATTTTTTTGAGCAAGTGGCTTTTGAAAACTGCAATTTGAGACCTCCACTTGGACATAGAGGTTGATATGATATCATGTGATCTCTTAATTCCCCCCTATCTCCAACAATGCCCTTATCTCCCCACTCAACATGCCCCGTCCTCTCATGGCCTTGCCTGGGACTCTGGGTTGTTGCTGCCAGTGACTTTTGGATGCAGTCAGGGATATGAGTATGTAGGCTGCCCCATATGTTAAAAACCCATCAAAACTGTCTGCAAAAGGCCCTCCACTGCAACAGTCAGCCAGTACCACTTCCTTCCTCCTGGGAAAGGTCTGAAGTCTGAACCACGGCCATTCCCACCCTATCTGCTTTCAGTATAGTCGGATACCACTTTTTGGGGCCTGTGAAATCCCACAGTTGTTCCGCAATTACAGCTGCTGTGCAAAGAAGAGGGGGGCTTTTTAACAGCGAGGGGGATAGAGTTAACCCAGCTGTGTTGGGGGAGGAATCACAGCTGCAAACTAGACACACCTGTTGCACGGGCAGGGATAAGGACTAAGGATATTCACAAGGACAAGCCAAATAAAAAATACTTCTAAAGATTTTTCTCCTTAATGTTTTGGTTTTACTGTCCATGGACCATATGATACCCATTGAAATAATATAATTAAAATAAGAGTTACGTTTGTTTGTGTGTTTTTTTATTATAAATGTCATACTTAATGCATTAATTCATGTGCAGGTCCCTGATATAATCAAAACATTAAAAACTATTCAACCTAAACTGCAAGGTCATTCACTCTGGTTAAAAAACTGTGGTATTCAGAAGAGCTGAAATGAAGTCATGATTTCCATTAATAATAAAAACATACATTCATGATTGACACTGGAAATAATGCCACCATTTTCTGCTCTGCAATGTGGAAATTACATTAAAGCAATTTGAAAAGCTGAAAAATGAAAGCCATTAACCTGCGACCTCTACTGTAATTAAAAGACACTACAGTGGAATGAATTGATTACACATCCTGTTCAACTGGCAGGCAGTAATAAATATGAGTGGACAGTGTTTGTTATTAAAATTCACGGCCATCCAAACAAAATGGACAAAGGCAGCAGTGAACATCGCCATAGTGCATAGTTTCCATGGCAGCATGTGAAAAAGGCTTCCATTTGGAAAGCTAACAAACACAACAAAAGGGCAGTTTGTTATCACATAGTCAAGTAGGTTCTTGTGACTGTAGGATAATTAATCTGACAATCTCTAGGTCACCGTTTGGACTCAGCTGTCCCTCTGAGTGGCTGTTCTTCTCCTGGACTTCTTCCCCGACACGACTGGCTCAGTCTTTGAGTTTGACAAGAGTTTGGATGTGGTGGCATCTGTGGCGCTCCTAAGCGGAGGCTCGGCTGTGTGTGCAGCACAGCAGCAGCTCCTCCCTGTGGCCCTCGGGGTGCATGGGGCAGTAGGACTGGGGCTCACAGTGCTCCTGACAGACACAGAGGAGACCAGGGGAGTGAGAAATAAACTGATCACAGCCTAGCCCAACAGCCCAGAGTCTATGTGAGAGTGATAGAAGTCTCTGTAGCCACCCTTCAGGATGTAGAGCTCAGGGTAGTGCAGGGCTGGGTACTTGTTCATGCTGCGGTCCACACTGCGCAGGAGGCGACACCTACAGAATGAGAGAAACACGCTCTCATGAGGAGGGACTTAATCTCAAATGGAATACATGCAGAAAAAAACACATTTCTGGTCAGGAGTATGAAGCAGATAATAAGCATTCTGCAGATTTGACACACACACACACACACACACACACACGAAAACACACACAGGTCGACGTGATGAAAAGGTATGCATGTCTCACGTTCTGGGTACTCTTTCGGAGGAGAATTCACAGTGCAGCACCAACACAAGCCTCTTATCAGGAGAGTGGGCTTTTAGCCTCTGGGACTGTAGATGATCCACTGCCTCGTCTGTGTTGGGCATGCTTAGAGCCCCCTGCAGGTGATGAGAGGGATAACACTAACTCAGACGAACACACTCGGTTCACACTCCACATTGATATAAACAAAGATTGCACTGTCCAGGGAATTATTCTGTTGATCTATCACCTTAATGTGTCCTCCCTGATACTCATATGGATAACAGCAGTCCACCACGGAAAAATACTCAACCAAGCAGCTGAACTTCCCTTCCAGAAGAGCACTCATCTGGGACAATGAGAGAATTAAGCATTTTTTGATATAATGTATCTTCCTGCAAATGTAACATGCACTATGTTAGGAACAGCACTACATCTCATTACACTTACTGTGTCAACTGTGATGTACTTCAAGCCTTGATGTCTCCCTGTCACAGTCGGTAGGGCATGCACCTAAAATGCAACGGTCATTTTAATTTACAGGACCATGTAATTGTGATTGTGAAACTGTTTACTATTGTTAACTAGTTCTGCATTGATACCATCCCCACCTAGCTGTTGTTCCACCTCACACAGAGAGTGTGTCCTCTTCTGCAGGTGCTGTTACTGAGAGTATGAATACTAGTCAGAAGAGAAACAACCCCCTAACTTCACAACACTCCTCATCTACCAATATACAGTGTAGCACTCCTGACCCACCCTTACCATCCTCTCATTGTTGACTCCAGCACCTTGGTCTCTCTCTCTCCCTGGCCCACCTCAGAGATGGCAGAGAAGGTGCAGTGTCGTTTATGTGGCCGGGTGTTGGCTGTGGAGGGGGAGGTGGAGGAGCGTTTCACCGGACGTGTCAACTGCTCTGGCATGGAGGGGGAGCAGAAGAGACAGCGCCCCCCGACGACACATGAATACCTTGTGAAGGAATATGTCTTGTTACCAGGGGCGGTGTGTTCATTAGGGCGATATGGGCGACGCACTGCCAAACGGGAAAAGGAAGGGATTTTTTTTCTAATCAATTATATCACGGCAACAGTAGTTATCAGTGTTCTAATCTAGACGTCTGATCTGCCACTAAATGTCCAATCAGGCTAAAGTCGTGCTTCAAATGGCCCCGCCCCTTTTGGGGCGATTTCAGTCAGGTTGAAAATCGCCCAGGGGTCTCTCATAGCCTGTCATGTAAAATCTTTTTTTTTCAAATATCAGAGCTTTCAATACAATCTCTATGGGTTTCTGAGGGCTTGCACTTACGCGCTTTCGTCATACGTAACATAACCATGAACGTAACTAAGAAAAGAGCGGGTAGCAGCGTCAATCAATTCACGTACTACTATCAACATGGCTAGCGTTCAGTGCAACTCGATTGTCTCTTTGAAAGAAGTTCACATCAAAGACCATTCAAAACGAGCTTCTGGAGTGTATGCTAGCGGTCATGAGGGAACATATTGTGGAGGAGGTGAAGTCGGCGAACTTCGTAGCTATCCAAGCTGACGAGACCACGGACGTTTCTACACAGACACAGCTGGTGCTTGTGCTGAGGTACATAGATAGCAACCACATAGTGCAGGAGCGCTTTTTTGAGTTCCTTCCCATCTCGGAATCAACCTCGGTCTCAATCGCCAGTGTGCTTTTGGAGAGACTGAACGGTCTTTTTGCCGACGACGTGAAAGTCAAACTGTGGTGCACTGGCACCGTACCAGGTTCTCATGAGCTACAACCTCCAGGAGACGTTCTCTGAGACTGTGACTCTGTTGAACATCCTCATAACTACTCCCATGACAACAGCTGAAGCTGAGAGATGTTTCTCAACTTTGACACGAGTTAAGACATTCCTGCGAAATTCAATGGGCCAGGAACGTCTGAATGCACTGGCCATGCTTTCCATGGAGAGGGAACTAGTCCTCAGCATGCCTGATTTCAATGAGAAAGTCATTGACCGCTTTGCTGCATTGAAAGAGAGAAGAGAACAGTTTCAGTACAAGTAATGTAGCCTCTCTCTCTCTTTGTCCCTCCCTGTCTGTCTCTTTAACACACACACGCCCAAATCAGTTCACAGTTGATGTTGTTTAAAATAGTTATTTTTCATTAAAAAAAAAGTTTAAAAAAATAAATAATCTGTTCATGTTCATTTTTACAAATCTATACAATTGGCCAGAATATGGTTGTTCATATTTACAAATCTATACAATTGGCCAGAATATGGTTGTTCATTTTTACAAAGCCATACAGATAGCTGTGTTTACCTTTTCTATAAATTATTTTCAAATTCTGTTTTCAGGCAAAATGTCTATCACTGTTCATTTTCACAAATCTATACAAGAGGGCAGAATATGGAAGTCTATAAAAATTTTATTATTACCAATAACTTGCATCAATGTTTTCAGTAGCCTCTATCAAAAGCTCCTGCTTGCTTGTTGTGAATTATGCTCAGGTGCACATATTTCCAATTCAACCATGAGGCAAAAAATGTGGTAAAAGCTCTTGTTGATCCTGCAATCTGAACAAATACCAAGATGCTGTATTTTCAGCTGATATTTCATTTGTTTATGGAAATGCATATTGTTTATGCAGTGTTGAGGAATGTGAAAGAACACCCTTGATTATTTTTACTGTGATAACTTATTTTGCTTTTGTAAGCCAACACTTTTGAGATCAGTCAATAAATGCTTCTGGCATTGACTTATATGCTGCCCCTGTCTTCATGTTGTTGCTGGACATATCTTTTTTAAAATGTGTGTAGGTCACCTAAATCATCAGAAAAATTGCCCCCCCCGAGAATTTTTTCAGGAGCCGCCACTGCTTGTTACTCCTTGCACCGCAGCAATGTTCAAACCAACTGCAAGTGATGATGGAAGAAGAAGATACTAACAGAGGAGAGATCTAATTCCTGGTTCATGAGGGGTTCAGACAGCAACTGTGCCATGCTACATGACATGATGACAGTAATGGAACCCTGGGGGGGAGATAACAAAACTGGGGTAAAAGGAGGGAGTCACGTAGGAAGACAGAAAAAAAGGAAGATCTGGGGAAACATTATTCAAAGATGTAGCAACCGAGATTGAACCATGCATTGAATACAGGTACAGGATTCACACTGGTGCAGACCTTGTTGCATGATCCATTCAGTGACATAGATTAACACAATGTGACAAGAGGTGAAGACATCAGTCTATGAGATCCAAACATCTCATCAGCTTCCTGCTCCAGGATTTCCATGAATACATCTGCATCCCCTGGAGAGTGCTGGGTTAGGGGGGAGATGAAGGGTAGATGGGACTCCCGAAGGCATTTTTAGCAGACGCTCTTATCCAGAGCCACTTACAGTTAGTGAGTGCATACATTATTTATATTTTTCATACTGGCCCCCCGTGGGAATCAAACCCACAACCCTGGCGTTGCAAACACCATTCTCTACCAACTGAGCTACATCCCTGCCGGCCATTCCCTCCCCTATCCTGGACAACGCTGGGCCAATTGTGCGCCGCCCCATGGGTCTCCCGGTCGCGGCCGGCTACGACAGAGCCTGAGAGTCTGGAATAGGCATAAAACACTCTGGCTTGCTCTGCATTCTTTTCCTGGGGCCATCTAAACATAGGGGAAACCACAGCAATGCAGTCATTGTAATTCAGGTGAGATACAGAGAACGCATAACTCCTCAAAAACACATCCACAACAGAGGTGGAGAAACTTTAGCAATCCTATACTGTCATCTAGTGGCCATAGTTGAATAAGCCACACGGCACTGAGCTGTTGCTAAAACATACTCATTTATGCCATTGAGAGGTTTAATCTCTGACTGATGACAGAATTGAAATAAAGTATATTGTAGAAGAAACAATAACATTTGCATGTGGATGTAAGTTAACCATGCATAACCCTGAATGTCAAAATACGTCCCCTCACATTCTCCTTGTTACTGAATGGACGTTCACTTTGGACTGCTACACAGCAACCTGAGCTAAGTGAGAAGAGAGTGTGTTAAATACACTGAGATAATCATTAAAAACAGATTCATAGGTAGAGTGAATCCACAGACTGTTCTTTACCAGGAAGGACCGTAACTTCTTAATGCGACTGCTCCCGGGAAAAAAGGAGAACAACATTACTTTGGATGATGCAGGTAGCAACACATTACCACTGGGATCCACAGGGCCAGTGGCGACCCGTCATTCACGGCAGGTGGGGCAAATATATATATGTATATATTTTTTTTGCTTGCCTGTTTTGCATGTTATTTTGGCATTAATACGTGTCACATATCAGTTTGCAAACAATGTAAAAAAAAAGAAGAAAAAAAAGTAATTGAGTTAATAAAGCCGCTTTTTTGCTTTCTTGAGTAAGGCAGCTCCAACATGCAGGTGTTTCAGCCTAGCTTAGTGCTTTCTGTGGTGGTGGGGCAGCCAGCGGAAAATACGGAGCGTAGGTGTTGGTAATGTTTTCTAGTTGCACCGTGATTGGCTCAGTGTTCTGTCACTCATGGGGACACCACGTCACCACCAAGTCTAAGGGTAGAGCTAGAAAATTCAAGCCCCTTGGGTGCTGCCATAGAGTTACATTAGAAGTGCCCATCCAAGAAGGCTCAAGGTCATTGGCAACAGATAAAATGACGTCAAATCACGTTATACCTACAGTAGCTTTGATTGGACTGATCATGTCAACATCATACTTTCAAAATATTAGCTAGCAGTCATCATCATGAATCAAGTCGTCAATCTACTGGCAAATCCTTTTTAATCCTTGTCATATGAAGAGAAATAATGAAGAGAAATTATGGATAAAACGTATCGGTGCTCATCATTGGACATAAACATTACACAACAAGTTGGAAATCGCAAATTCAACAATGAGTGGTTTGGAAGGAAACAGTGGCTAACTGCATGCATTGCAAAGCAATCACTAGCCTGCTATTCAGTGGAGTGGCTGTGTGGTCCCAAGTCTGGGATTAAGGGTCTCTTCTCCATGTTTAAAATGATAAACATTCAACATTGGCCATGCTGTCAATGAAGCATGATTTGTGCCGCGCTCAAAACAACTGTTACAGTTTTTCTCAGTCGCTTTGGTGCATTTTTCACATCATCCCTAACATGTGCAAAATAATAAGTGCATTTCTCAGAACAATTTGTACAAACTGCAATATACAATAGATATGTTTCTAAAGCTAGTCAGTCACTAAAAATCCTTAGTACATCTCTCAAAAGTAAATATTCATGCCAATGATCATGTCAGTGTCATCAGAATGATAAGTCATTGAGTCATTGTTCACGAACAAGGTTGTCAAAATGTTTAGGCATGTTGTCAATGGAACTGTGTACTTTGACAGTATTACCTGATGTAAACTTAGGCTACAGTTTGGATGACAGTTACTGTATTGAAAATGCACAAGGCTGCACTTCTATGGCATATATCAATTTCAACAGTACTATTTACATATTACTGTATGTGGGTTATTGATTGAAAGAGACTGGACAACCCAAGGGGCACAAAGGAAAAAAAACTAAATTAGAAAGAAACACAGGAAACCACCCCTAAGGCACAACTTTGCCCACAGCACTGTTCTAGTGCTGTCTCTACACATCCAGACGTTCCTGTCTGTCAGCCCACATATTCTCATCCACATCACACCGGATATTTTCCCTTCCAATGCAACGTGGAAAGAATCTTTTGGAATGCCTTATCCATCCTCTGCAGGCGTCTACTGTGGTGTCCTCACATGCTGCATCCATTGCAGCCAGCAGGGTCATCTGTGTGTGTGGCTGACGATCGTACACCTTCCACCTCCATGCTGAAAAGAACTCCTCAATTGGGTTAAGGAATGGTGAATAAGGTGGGAGGAATTCTATGAGCATCCTCGGGTGGGTCACAAACCATT